TGGAAGAAGGAAAGAGTGACACCTCAATGTATTTGGCTGGAACCCATTTGCTTAGTAACTGCCCACTGCCGTAGGTAAGAGGGGATCGCCACATCACCTGAAAAGCCCGACATGGCTGTCCGAGGTCGTGATGCTGGCGTACATCAACATCGCTCATTACCGTGGTAGCCGGATACCATCAGTTGCCACCACCGGGTGCTTGAATTGCTCAAAAAGATAAAGGCGATCAACGTAGGTAAGTGGAAGTGTATCTCATCAACTTCTCACATCACATCCTCAGCCAAACAGATTGCATTGGAGGGAAATGGCCAAAGCCTTGACTGTGCCCCGTTGTGAGCACATCATCTCCACGCACAGGGGACAGGTGAACTGAGTCAGGCAAATCGTTCCCATCAGGGTACCTACTTATCCACGCATTCAGTACCTCACATGTTCCACTATTTGGTCTGCGACTTCTCCCTCTCCTCCCCCTTCCACAAGATATCAACTTTGGCATCCACCCATCCCGATGACTGTCATCTGCACTGTAGAGAATGTTTGAATAACTTGGCAACTGCTCGAGCGTGAGCACAGACACAGGGGCCTGCTGCTGCTGCTGCTGCTGCTGCTGCTGCTGCTGCTGCCTGTTGTTGTTAGTCGGTTGTCAACTCGTTGCATCACCAACGAGGAGAACGAAGAAATGTGAAACAGTAAAGTGGTGGTCGTGACCCCTCCCTTAATTAAAGTGTCTCTGAAGTACTGACGTGGTGGAGAACTTGGGTGATGCAACGCCGGAGCAATGTAATGTAGGAGGATCGCAACTCACACAAGTTCACGCCTCTCCCAATGACCTTCAGACAAAGGGTTGTGTTTGCACACACGAAGCACACCCCCACACATCAGTGACCAATTGGAGGTAACACCACAGGAGTGTGAAATACACCATGTTCAAGGGTAAGGTGGAAGGGGAGTTGAATGACACTTCAGGAATGGCAAAATTTCGAGGTCGTAAGTGTACTCAGTCGAACTTTATTGCTGTCGGCTAGACCACATTCATCAACCACTGCGCTTCATTCGCCATTTGGCATTCGTAAGAGTAATTAGACAATACATAAGTGACCTCATCAACCAATCGACACCTCTGCATACCTGTCCAGTCGTCTATCTGGATTGTGTTGGACTACAAGAGGCGGGAAACAGGTGTCTTCTGCTTAGCTCATTCAGATCGCTCAAGCTGTCACTTGCCGTCCTTCTTGTCTTCATGCCGAACATGAGGTTGTAGTGACTGCTGAACTTGGAGGCGGCTC